GTGGTCCAGCAGGGGGGGCTTCTCCTCCTTTTGTTTTTTTTCTTTTCGTTCTGTTTTCTTTTCTATTTTCTTTCTGTTTTAAATCATTCTAAACTATTTAGGCCTTGTATAAAAATGTGTTTACCTCACCACAATTACCTTTGTAATATTTGACAATCACCGAACATTTTATTCTTAATTTTTGGAAACTTTTATTGTTATCATTAACTTGCATTTGAATTTCAAAACAGTTTTGAATTAACCTGAGATTAACTACAGTGACAGAGGTGACGTGGCACCATCAACGTGAGTTTACTGTAGCATGATTATCCGGGCGTTACACTCTATTATTGCCTCCGATAGATCTTGGCAGTGGAGGTTGCAGGCCAGTGAAATGAAAGCCATCAAATGTGTCTCTCTTCTTCGCGTCGGTAGTCCAGGACGACGACTTGTTTTCACTCTTTGATTTGCTTTGATCTTTGAGGATTGACGGACATGTGACAACGAGAAATCCCAACTTGGCATTGGTTGATGTAGACAACAACAATGCATGTGACTCGCTTCTCCTCCTTGGAGGCGTTATCATGGCACTATTTGTGCCCTCCTCGAGAAATGGGGTAAATCCTAGTCTCGGTTCGTCGGGCCAGGCAACGGTGGCACCATGACATCATTCCCTCCTTGGAGGCATTGCCGAGTTGAATGTTGAGTACCGAGAGTGGCAACCAGAGTTTCCATGTCTCGCCGGTTAGGCTTGGTGGCTGCTACTAAGGGCATGGACCTCCTGGGCGTAAATGTACGCTGCTGTCGGTGCCTTCTAAGAGGCATCTTCCTTGGGTCTTGTTTCCCACTTGTTGACTCCTCCTAGGTGCTCGAGTGGAGAGTACATTGACCCAACCTGCCTTGGAGTCATGGTTGTGATTTCTTAGGTGTCCAACATTGATCGTGGCACGTCCTTGATGATATCTCTCCCGCCCCTCGCTATTCGTGGCGAGAGGTTGGACAAGGCGCGACGTCTGCCTTCCCGGCCCCTACGGAGTCATGGGCTGCCCTCAGGACAACCGCTAAAATGACATGCACTGCTACATCATGGCGAGGCGGAAGAGGTCATGGTAATTTTCAATCATGCAGGCCTTGGAGGGGAGAGTGTCGGATGGTGCTAGGAATTTCGTGCTTGCAGCAAAAATTCAGGTGATGCAGAGGGATGATGAATCTTCTCCAACCCCTATCGTCCGCCCTTGATGCCGCCGGTAGCGTCCTCCCACCGCCAATCCATGGGCACAACGCTGGCGCCTTTGAGTCCAACACCGTCCACTTTACCCTCAAGCACCCTCGAAATCGGTTCGATCTCGTCGTCGTAGCTCTAGCAGCTTGCTTGTCTATTTTCTCTACTTCCTGATCCTATGATACATGGGCATGATTCACTAGGTATGTGGGTTAGGAGAGAGTTGGTTTTATAGATCTCTTTCGACAGGTATCATGCATGGAGTGAAAAGAGATTTTCTGAGGACTCGATGGATATCTTACGTGGGGTGGAAATCGAGTTAGTTCACATGGGTTATCATACATGTAAAACCAATCTACTTAGTTTTACGGCTTTTGCCTTCATGTTGCCTTTTCAGGTTTTTTCCACTTATGGATGACATTGAGGGTAATTTTCGTCAGCTACACGAGATGGACGAAGAAATGAAAGAAATTTCTGTATTAGTAGGTATAGAAGTAGGCGCAGGCCTTCGTTCTAAAAAACCACGGTCTAGTACCTTGCCTCATTGTGCGCCGTGAGGGCATCTAGCTCAATACCAAGCCGGACAGGTTGATCCGGTGGACTAAGGATTGGCACTACTCATCCAAATCATGCTACTCGGTCCTATTCTCGAGCTCCCGTAGACTGACATGGCAGTGCTGACGCGCCATACAAAGTGAAGTAGTTTTTTTTTAAGATCCATCATTTGCTAGTGTTCCATATCAAGTGAAGTAGTTGGGGCAGTTGAAGATGTTGTTAGTCACTCTTGAAGCTCAAAGGTAAAGTCTGACAACTTAAATAACGAGAGAAGCTCAAGGCCTTTACATAATGGACATCCCTCAGTAGCAGTCAGTTTTGTAAACTCCATCTTTTTCAAGAAAACATGAAGCTAACCGGTTGTAGCATATCCGAGCAATGCATTCTACTCCCTCTGTTCCGAATTACTTGTTTTGGATTTGTCTAGATACGAAGGTATCTAGCACTAAAATGAGTCTAGATACATCCGTATCTAGACAAGTAATTCGGAACGGAGGGAGTATAAGATAACGATGCAAAAACATCGTTGTACACATAAACATTGTCAGAACTAATTCTGATTAGACCTACGCTCTTGGCATTGCATTGGGTTAAATACCAATATCACAAGATAATGGCATTGAGATTGAATGCCAATATTTTTGTTTGGAGGTTTAGGTATTCAGAACAGAGACCTGATATTGAGGTTGAGTGCCAAATGATGTTTGGATGGTCAAATAATATACCAGGGTGAAGGTCGCTGAAGAGAGAGATGAGGTGGACTGCTATCTCCTTCATGAGCGCCCCCAGGGAGAGACCTCCGGCAAGCCCCGGAAGGACCAGTCCAGGAAAAGGACTTCGAGTGAGGTGCCGTTCTTGCAGTACCGGAAAAGTGGCAGTGCAGCGAAGGTGTCTGGGTAGTCGGTGGTTGAGGCCTGGGACAGGGCCCGGGTAGCCCATCCCATCCTCCTCTTGTCCAGCGGCCGGCGCCACCTCCCGCCCCACCACGCTCACTTTTCCCTTTCTCCCTCCCGGTAGAGCAGTTCCCTCTCATCTCTCTCTTCTGTGCATCCTAGGTTGGGGATCCTGTTCACACAATGGGAGAGATCCCTGTTCACACAATGGGAGATCCCGCAGCTGCTTACCTGCTACTCGGGCCGTATGGGAGAGACCTACTGTCTCGAACGGGGATGGGAGGATGACGCTCGTTTCGGTTGCAAACAAGTACGCTATCCCGAATACTCAGCGATGTCGAGCGCGGACCCTTTGATAAGACCGGAACCCTGATGGCGAGTTTCGATCTGTTGTTGCGGCCCGATCTTTCACGACACTTCAGCATCAGCAGTAGCAACCTCTCGCCCGCGCACGCGATGTACACGAAGTAGAGGATTTGAACCTTGCGGTCCAGCACGAGAAAACCAACCTCGACGAAGGTACTCACGCGCAAAACAATTTCCACAAAAAGAAATCGCAACACAGAGATTTTCTAAAGATTCCTCCAAAACTTGATACGGGTGTCTACCCTGAAAAACACATCGTGTCTATTTCATATAAAAATAACCTGACCCCTCTACAACGACGCACACCTAGGCTTTATAGAAGTAGCCAACCTGAAACACACACACCTAAAAGGTTTCCAAAAGACACACGTACACATATTTCCTAATCTGTAGACTCTTTCTTAGTTTAAACTAACTCCAGGATCGGCAAGCTTGGTGGGCCCCATCCAATCTCCTTTAAACATGTAAAAATCCACGTGAGTAACTTCCTGATGCTCGTGATCTTTTCTGGTCGTCGACCCCAACAGAAGTAGTAGTAATTCCGCTCTCTATTTTTAACAACCGATGCAATCTTTGATTTCCTTCTGATTAATATATATGTGTTTGCTTCCCAAATTTCTTGACGCAATATCTGTGCTGGTGCTTTCGGGATCTCAGAAAAAGAAGCTTCATCACTTAATGATTCATACTTATAGGAGTCCCGTGTATATTGCCTTCCTAGTAATTTGTTTCCCTGGCAAACTGGCATGCATGCATGTAGCTGACCTTTCTTTGCTTGATCCGTACCATGCAACCAACTAGAATGCATGCACATGACTCCAACTAGGCATGCAACCTTCTTCTGGTAGTTCTCACCAAAACTATTGTATTTTGGTACGTATAAATCTCTGCGCTCTAATTCATTGACCTGTGAAAAACTTTTATAAACATTGAGAACGCTCACATTAATCGTGGCCGCATCACCCTACGAGTTGGGCCGCTAGCTTTTTGCTTGCGGGACTGGTCGCTCGATATCGAGCCCGAATGCCAGAGCTGAATGCCAAGATTAAGCAAACGGCGGTATTCGGGATATTCAACCCAAACGAAAGCCAATACTCAATACTAGGCCCGAATGCAAACATCCAAACACAGTGCTAGGGTTTTCGCAGAGGGGCTAAAAGATGATTGAGTGCATATGGTGTTGATCTTGACTATGTACATCATCCTAACTATGCAAAAACCAGCTATGCCCTCATTGAATTGATAAAATTCACCATTTGACAAAATAAAAAGCTAGTTGCTCTACTCGAAATTTAGTCGGAAATACTGAACTGAAATATGCTTAGCTAGGAACCCGGAATTCCCAACCTTCCCCGTCCCTTCCAAACCCACTGACATCAGGGCCCGCGGTTGCCCGTAGGGCGCTGGCGCCCGACCCGAGGTAGCCATGGAGTGCCATGAAGAGCCTTTCCTTCTCCAGCTCCTCTATGCCCATCCTCCTTGATCTCTGCTTCCTCACGCCGCCGCCGAGCGTCGATCCCTGCGGTGCCCAATTGGCCTTCCTTCTAGCGCCGGCAATGCCGCCGCGCTGCCCTCCTCCGATGGGCACGGGCACGGAATCGAGGCCCATGAGCTTGGCCACGACGCCGGGCTTGCACCACACCACGCTCTCCCCAGCCACCGTGGACGGCATCCGCAGTGTCCGCTCCAGGTCCATCTCGTAGCCTTCCATACCGCACTCTTTCGCTCTGCAGTGCCCCGCGCCGGCGGCGGCGCAGCAGACTGACGCCCTCCGGTGCCGACTGCCGTCGCGGTCTGCAGGGATGTTTCGGCTATCTCGGAGCACGGGGCCGGCGACGCCCATGCCCTCGTGGTAGCTGCTGAACGACGCGCGGCACATGGCGTCCCGGCCGTCGAGGGAGAAGCGCGGGTACTGGCTGAGCGCGTCCCGCGCTGAGCGGAGCACGTGGTCGGAGCTGTTCACGCACGACATGCGGCGAGGGTGGTAGCGGTCCTCCTCCAGCACTGCCGCCGCCACGCGCCGCGCCTTTCTGGCCGCCGCGGCCTCCTCCTCCAGGTCCAGCTGCAGGATCATCTGTTCCAGGGTGACCGCGGCCGCCGCATGCGGGCCTCCACCGGTGGCCGCCTCGCTCTCGGCCGCGCAGGAGCCCACGACGGACGACGGCACGGTCATGAAGGAAGACGACGCTGCGTCGGCATCGGCACCCCCGCTGGCCAGCTGCTGGTGGTCGATGCTGGCGTGGAGGTGCTGCTGTGTGGACGTGGAGCCGACGCCATGGCAGAAGCCGCGGATGCCGCGGCGCATCGTCCTGGAGGCGACCACGAGCGGGTTCCTGAGGAGGAAGAGCGTGCCGGGCTGCTGCAGCTGGTGCTCCCTCATGTCATGGCCGGCCGGTGCATGCTCTGCTAGTTGAACAGCCTCTGTACAATGCGCGCTCAGCGCGGCTATTCGTGCGTGCGCGCTCGCTTGAGGCTCGCCTGCCCGTGACCCTGTTTAAACTGGACGGAACGGTGCATCGGGGCGTGCACACGAGAGCAAATTAAGTGAGTGTCATGGATCGCGCGGTGGTGCAACAATGGGGATCACATGAGAGAAACTGCAGGGAGGGAGTCAAAAGAAAAACAGGTTCACATGGGAAAGTATGTGGGGGAGCGGCCTACGACAAACATAGAGAAAGAGTGTTTCTTAGCGAAAAGTTCATTCTGCACCCGAGCTCATATGCTCCCGCATGAACAGTAAAATCGAAAAAAAATCGAAAAAAATTCAAAAAATTCCAATTTTTTCGAGAGAAACATTGACAAAAGTTCTAAGTGCCTGCAAAAATTCATCATGAAATCACATTCCTGTAAGGCGTGGCAAAAAAAAACAAATTCAGTGCTTCAAAATGCATTTGAAAGTAGCTTTTTCAGAGTACTATTTTTGTTTTTTTTGCCACGCCTTCTAGGAATGTGATTTCATGACGAATTTTTGCAGGCACTTAGAACTTTTGTCAATGTTTCTCTCAAAAAAAATTTGGAATTTTTTGATTTTTTTGATTTTTTTTTGATTTTACTGTTCATGCGGGAGCATATGAGCTCGGGTGTAGATTAGCCGCGTCCGTTTCTTAGAGCAATCTCCAATAGGTCAAAAGTACCTTTCTAATCCTGAGCTCAAATACTCCTGGTGTGAACAGCAAAATTAAAAAAATTAAAAAATTCTGATTTTTTGTGGCAAACTTTAAGAAATGTTTGAAGTGCATGTAAATTATTACCATGAAATCACATTGGTGAAAGTTTTGGCAAAAAATTCTGTGCAACAAAATGCGTTTGAAAGTAACATTTTCAGGGCATCGATTTTGTTTTTTTACCACGCCTTGCACCGACGTGATTTCATGATGCTTTTTTGCATGCACTCAAAACATTCCTTAAAGAAATTTTTGTCTATTTTTTTTAATTTACTGTTCATCGTGGAGCATTTGAGCTCAAGATTAGAAACTCCACGTCCCGGTAGGTGCCCTATAATAGGCCACCAAATTGTGGTTGGATCAAAATTTGCAACACCCTAAAAGTGATTTTTACAAAATCCAGAAACGTCTAACTCCAATAGATGCCTAAAAATAGGTGTGCAAAATACATCACGGTTGTCTTTTTATGGGTGCCTATTTTATGACACCCATTGGAGCATCAGAGTGATGTAAAACAACACTTGGTGTTGCAAATTTGTAGGGTCCCCCTCGTGTTGCAAAAGTTGCTCCAACCGACCAAGTGTTACAAATTTTGCAACACTTGGTGTTGTGTTTTGCAAGTGTTGTAAATTTGGAGCAATGTTGCCCCTCGTGATGTAAAAAGTGGTCCTGCCCTGTTTTAGGGCACCTATTGGAGATGCTCTTATGGCCTTTGTTGTTCTTGAATATTAAAGTTTCAGATTTTAACAGAAGTACATATTTTGAAAAAAATGATGACTCATTTCAAATATTTGAATCTTTTTCGTCATAAGTTCATAATTATTTCAGTAAAAGTTCTAGACACCATTGAGAAATGTTCAATAAAATTCCATACTTTTCAAAGATGTTCAAACATATTTACACCAATTTCAGACTTTTCACAAATATCATGAAATTTATTTGTTTAAAAATCATAAATTCCAAATGTATTTGATGCATTTTAACCCAACTTAGACCCATAAATTATTAACAAAATATTGTAATGAGACTTTATTCTCTTCAAATAATGTTCAAAGAAGGTTCACACATCAACTCCAATGGACCCAAAACATGTTGACACGAATTTTAGTCATGTTCTAGACTTCACTCACATATATTTCATTGAAATTTTATTGTTTTGAAAATGTTCCGGTCAATGTTCACATCAATCTAATGGATTTCAAACATCTTTACATCTATTTGTGTCATGTTTCAATAGATTTTAGAAACATCCAGGCATGTTACATTTTGTTCGCGGTTATGTATTGATGAATTTCGGAAACACAAGAGACATTTACACACAAATTACACAAAGTTGGACCTTCTTTCCACAAATAAAAAGTCAATCATATTTCATTTAGTAATATTTCAACAAATTTAGTCACATTTCGGTTAATTTCATAAAGCTTGAACATACATGGATAACAATTTTCAATACCGACTCATACATATTACATACATTCCACATACTTTGACCAAAAAAGCTTAAATTGCATTTCGTACATGTATCAAACACACAATGTAGTCCGCAAAATTTCATATATATTTCAAAATTTGAAGAGGTATATGTCACATACATTTCAGAACTTTCTTGCTGTGAGCCGGGTCGAAAGCATGAATGGATTACGTTTTTGGTCTTTCATCAACCCTAAATAATCTCACCCAAAAACAATCTAGAACATGGACAAATCAAGGACAAAGTGCATGTTACTGATATATCCTAAAACTAGAACCAAGTCAACGATATGGCATCATGAACCAAATTAGCAAAATCACCTTTGTGACGATTAATGCTTTGCTAACATTGCGATCTATTTGGAATCGCCAACGAGAGCCAGAAACTCTGCATGACAAATAAATGGTGCGCTCAAATGAGAAGTCTAGAGGATTACCATTTCTGTCAAGAGTTTGTCTGTAAGAAATTTCATGTTAGTTTGTCACGCTTGTGGACACTTTTACAACCTTAACTATAACCAAATCAATGGCAATGCATAGTATATTATGTAGTGGATTGCGGAAGCATGGAGTAACTGCAATGACAATGACTTCTAACTCTATTTTGTTCCTGTGTATGTAGAGACCATTGGGTCAGCACTGGTATCGTTGTACCGTGGAACAAGGTATTTTTTACCTTGATTCCTTGCAGCGAAGGGAGTACAATCACTATCGAGACTTCATGGTTATTTTGAACAACAATAGATCATGATTTTGTCATCTTTAAGTCCACGTCCAAGGGGCTTCTTGTAGGAAGTGTCGGCATTCTGGGACCGGGGGTGCCCAGACTTGCCTGTCTGTGGCCTGTGAGCGTGGCTCCACCAATGGCCTGGTATGGCCCATCTTCAGCAGCAACCACCCAAGACCCTCGCGAGGGGCCAAGCCTCGTGAGGCGAGCGACACCAAGACCTCCTTGGGGGTGGCCTCACTAGGCCGGCTCCCGAGGAGTAGAGATATGTATGCAAGGGGCACTTCGCGAGGTTCACGTGACATAAGCCATGACGACCGAGGCCAGGCAGGCGCCAGTGGGCACAGTGTACCAGTTTCCTCTTTGGTGCTAAGGAGGCAAGTGCAGGCGCGGGGTCCCTAGGCATTAGGCAAAGGTTTTCATATCGGTGCAACAAGACCAAGACCGCCAGGACGGCAGGACGGAAGTCATCGCGGAGCCCACAGCAGCATCACCACCAGAGCCTTTGGCAGACGAAGACCACCTTTTGTCAGGATAGTTTGTACTAGTTGTCCCCCTTCAAACTTGGCCGTTGTGGGATCCCTTCCCGCCTAAACATTTGGGAAGAGGACTGAAGCCACTATAAATAGGACTTAGCCACCACCATAGACCGGGATCAGATTCATTCCACCCCGACGAGCTTACCCGTTCATCTAGCTCAAGAACACCTCACCTCCCGAGGCTGTTCATCCATTGTAATTAGTTCATCCTCGGCCCCCCGAGGCAATCCACCCACAAACTGGAGTAGGGTATTACACCGCGAGGTGGCCCGAACCAGTATAAATCCTCGTGTCTCTTGTTCTTAGGGTACGTCGAGCTAGGCCATGAGATCATTGAGCGAGTGAGCTAGGAAGAGAGTGTTTTTTGTGCGCACCCCAGAGTTCAAACCTCTTAAGGGTTCGTCGGAACACGTAATCCGACATTAGGCACGCCAGGTAGGGGTGTGCCGGAGCTCCGCCTCTCCGCTCGTTCTGCCCCTCCTCCTGCATCGTATCTCTGTTCGGCCCTTATGGCAGGCGCTACTCCACCGGCTGGATCGACGGGCGCGCACAGAGGCGACATGGGCCTCCGGGCCTTCACCCCCACCTTAAAACATGTTTAGTGGCCGCGCAAGTTCAAGGCGGATATGCCGCCTCGCTACGATGGCGTGACGGATCCAGCAACCTTCCGGCTGGTGTACGAGGAGGCCGTTTGGAAAGCCGGAGGAGATGACAGGGTCATGGCCATTTGGTTCCCCGTGGCCCTGGCCGGCGTGCCGCGCGCCTGGCTGCTCAGCCTGCCGGGATCCTCAGTGGCCTCCTAGGAAGAGCTGCGCCGTCTCTTCATCGCGTGCTTCGCAGCACCAGCGCCCCTCGCCGTTGCAGCCATCCTCGGCGGCTCGCAGGCACCGCCCTCAAATCGCCACATCAAGAAGTTCTTCCGCCAAATGGGCGCCACCTTTGTGCAGCAGGGACCTCCCCCGGGATGGGCGGCGCCCAAGGCCGACCTCACCTTCGAGTCAGGGGACCATCCGGCGACCACCACCGGCTTGGGCGCGCTCTCGATGCTTTGCACACCCACCATCTGCAACGTGGCGGTGACCAAGACCCTCATCGATGGCGGGGCTGGCCTCAACATGCTCTCTGTGGAAGCTTTTGGCTTGCTCCACGTATCACACAGCCGGCTCCGTCACACCAAGCCCTTCTCCGGAGTTGGCGGCGGTTCCACCAGCCCCCTAGGGCAGATCCGCCTTCCCGTCACCTTCGGCACCCGCGACAACTACCGCACTGAGCTTATCGACTTCGACATCACTCGCATCATCCTCCTGTACAATGCCATCCTCGGGTACCCAGCCCTGGCTCAGTTCATGGCAGCAACTCACCCTGCATACAACCTCATGAATATGTCGGGGAGCAACGGCGTCCTCACCGTGGCTAGAGACACCAAGGAGGCCCTGATGGCCCTCAACTCGCCTTCAGGGCTGCGGCGGCGGCGCGC